GGCCGATGGAGCCAAGTCCTGAAAACCTGAGAGCAAGACGGGGAATGGAATCCACTGTGATACAACGGAAAGGGCTTCCCAAGAACTGAAGTTTGTGTTCATACAAAGGGGGCTTCCCTTGTATCACAGAAGTGGGGAGAAACCCCTTGATCCCACAACCCTGCCTGAGAGAGTGTCGGTTCAGGTTTGTTCTTGACTTCGTTGAATTTACAATCGGGGGAGCTTCCATGTGAAAAATCGCTTGGCGGGTACTGTAGCTTGCGACTGCGACTTGTAGAGCTTTGGTTGGTGACCGCTGAGGGTTCCATGTTCCCACAGCTCGTTGTGCCATTGCACGGCCATTGTGGACTTCGCAGCTACTCTGCGTGGCACTTGTGATTTCTTTGGTGCATTCTGCTCGGATGTTAGGACTTTAACTGTTTGCCATCTAATGGGTTTTCCAAATTAAACCACTAAAAGTTAAGCTTTTAGCAGGGGATCAGATTTCGCAACCGAGATGTTTCTTGACTTCACAGCCGAATCGGAGAGGCGGATGCAACAGCACCCTCGCTGGCGTGGGAGCTGCACTGGGGCCGCTGGAAACTCGAACCGCCATGGCTCAAAAAGCAGCCCTCGTTCGATGGGGTCGATTGAATGGTATGGGTATCCAAGTAAAGGGAACCGTTGAATGGCATGTTGGATTTGGACCCCAGATTTGGCGTTGTTGTTTTTTCCCCGGCTGCCGTACTGTGGATGGTTGCGAAGTCCATTTCGCAGCACCCAAGAGACCCTGAAATGATTCGATTATTCTACCAAGTGGTACGAAATTGATTTCGCAACCATCCACAGTATGATGGGGGATTTGGACCCCACAAATGGTTTGGTTGTCCTTTTGAAGAACCCCTTTAAACCAAGACATGAAACGGTCGCCGAGCTTGAGAAAAAAACACAGCCCCAGATGCAACGTTGCCCGTTACCTTCTTGGCTGGACCGGGTCAAATGCTTAAACTCGTGAGGAACCTCACATCTAGGTTGCTCTTCGATTTGGCCGAAGTTTGCAACTCTTCAAGGGTGGAAGCCACTGTTCAATGGCGAATTGATTCGATCCTCCGGATGAAGACGATGAAGCTTGCATTATTTGTTCAGGAAGATGACAGTTTCCAACATTTTCCAACAACCAGCACAAAGTCAGTCACTCTTCGTCAGGGCTGTGGGAAATGACCGCTTCTGTGATACAATAAAAAGAGCCTCCCAAACACTACACCACCAATATACAGGGGGGCTTCCCTTGTATCACAGAAGTGGGGATAAACCCCTTGATCCCACAACCCTGCTCTTTGTAGGGTGTTTCGAGGCCAACCGAGAATTGAGGTCTGCTGGAACCAGCAGGTCTATGGGGGATGGTTTCAACCCAAGCCTCATGGGCGTTTCCGATGGAATCTTCATGGGTCGATCCGACCTCAGCATCATTGGATTTTCAAAAGAGGCTCCAGGACAGGGCGGGCCAAAGAAGATGGATGGCTATGTTTCATCGAAATGAAATGAAGGAGGAGTTGTCTCTCTCTTTTTTTTTTCAGAATCACCGTAGGTTTCCTTCAAACGTCACCCTAAAGCCCCAAGCTGAAATATGGCTGTGGGTCAAACCCAATGGTACCATTCAGGGTTGGATTGGGATGTAACCACTGGGGGCTTTATGTGTGTGCGTGTGTCCAAAGATGTTCAGCTCCAAGGCGTCCAGGCGTGGTTGGGCTTGGTTTTTGACCGCGGGAGGGTTCTACTTGGGTTGGATTCGCAACCCCCGAAGATTCCTGAGATGATGGGTTTTGCGGAGTCCCTGTCAATGAGAGAGCGATCATTTTGGAACCCCCTTTCACCTGAATCCAGATGGATCTTTGTGTCCCTATCCTATTCTTTCAAGAATCCTTCCTTTACATGGCTAGTGGCTGCGGGTGGTTAAAAGGAGTGATTTGTCCAGTCAAGTTGCAAAGTCTCCTCAGCTTGGCCTGCTTTCATCTCAAGGTCTGACCAGCACCGGCTGGGACGTCGTTGAGGATCGCTCTCTCATAGCTCGGCCCCAAAGTTCTAGTAGGTTGCATGTGCAGACGCTGGCAGACGCATGTAGGCAGATGACATCCCATACCAACCTTTGGCAACTCAGCACGAGGCAACAGTTGGTGCTGGCGCTGAAGAGGTGACACTCGAGGCCGGCGGTTTTTTGCTTTCTGAATAGCTCACTCGCAACAGTGATGTCGTTGGCGCGGGTTTTCGTGAGGTCATCAGCGGCGATGACTCAGCAGAGCCCTCAGAGGCCAGCAGAGTTCTCAAGTCTTTCGAGGCGCCACAGATCGCTTGAGTGGCGTTCGCACGGTCACCTCCGGCTCCAGACGAAGGGTTCTGGTCCACCCTGACCACCCCAGAAGCCCAGTGCGCGTCAGCCATTTGTCCGGCCGTTTGCCGGTCCGATGGAGCAACCCCTCGAGTTGGCACAGCTGCTGGGACGCATCCGCGACTCTCTGAGCCTTGGCGTGTTTGTCAAGAAGCGAACTTTGCTTTCTTCATGGCTATTTGGTAACGGATCTTTGGACTTTAGCTTTTGGGGACACGGTGGATTTGAAACAGGTCGGATGTTCCATTGGAGCCACAAGAAGTGATTTTCACCTTTGCAGAGCGGTTCACAACCGCCAAACTTGATGACGGGACGAGCCAGGTTCGGGGTGCCCAGTCGATTGATCTTGTGTTTTGCAGACTCCGAAACGGGTGTTTTTTGGTTCAAGCTGTACAAATTGGCGGTGTTGTCTTTGGGTTCTTGTTCTTTCCCCCCTCCCCCATGTCTTGGTGGCTCCCAGCCATCCGGTTCCTTAGCTTTTTAGCCTTTTAGTGTTTAGTGGTAGTTTCAACGTATTTAACCCACCAAAAGTTAGTCGCTTTTAGCCGGGGATCTGAAAACGGGCAGCCCGGACCGGGGTCACCGCAAGGCGGAGCACTGGCACTCCGCCCACGCAGCTCTTCCGGCAGCTGGACGCAGACCACGACGGGGCCGGGGGTTCGGGTTCCGGGGGTCCGGGTCTCTTGGGGGGGGGGAGGCTTCCAGCTTCTGGTCGGACGGAATGAGAAGAAGAAAAAACTGGGCCGGCCTTGTCAGGGTTCCATTTTTATGAGTAGCCCCCCCCCAAGTCGATCTCGGGCACACTTTGGGCCTAGGGAACCAAATTTGGACTCCGGGCCAAGCCTTCAGCTTCCCAGTTCGTGGCTTGGGGTTCGACGTGGTTCAAGGCTGGTTTCCCCAGTTCAAATCCCAGACCACTCAAACCGGTCTCCTGTGAATTCGGCAAGGGCCCTGAGTCTCAGCCAAAGGATGGGGTCCCCTTTTCTGGTTGTTACACGGAAACCAAACGAAAGCCCCCCATTTTTTGGGAAGGTCCCCCGTTTGACTCACTTGAGTTGATGAGCTTTAGTCACTTTTTGGGGGTGGGCCATGTGCGGGCATACAAACAGTTTGTGGACCATCAGGAAGTGAGGTTTTAGGGGGTTCTTGAAATGTCATTAAATGCCAACATCTTGGATGATCATTTGAGGCTAGCACTCTGGAACCGGAAATGGGGACTCCCCCGGATTCTTCTCGGTTTCCAGTTGCAAATGAGGTCGGCACCTTGAAAAACAGAAATGCCACCCGAGGTCGGTGCAACCGGAGCATCTGAAACCCATGGCTCCGTGACATTCCCTTTGCTCGGGATTTCTCCAGGCTGACTTTTCAGGGGTTTCTCCATTTCCCTGCTTGGAATCACTGGAACCTCCAAACATGGATCCACGTTTGAGTGGACGTCACGTTTATAAGTTTCCACGTTTGAAGGGCCTCTGGGGTTCTCTTGGCTTCCCGATTGAAAACCCAAGGAGGGGTTCGAAAGTTGAGAATGGCACTGGTACGTAAGAAAAACCAGCTGTCAGATGCTGGCTCGGGGTTGAGCTCATGAAGTCAAGCGTTTGTGGCCGCAACTCCGAAAGGGTTTGGTGTCACTTGGCGGCTCTCACCCTTGGACTTTTTAGTTGGGATTCATCGCATGAGGGAAGTCCGGAAAACATGGGGTGACCAGCACTTAGGGAAACCACCAGAAAAGATGACTCAGATGACTTTCACCACATGGGAAAAGTGACATGCTAACTTTGGGGCCTCGATGGAAAGATTGATCAACCCCCACAGACGAACTCCTACGCCACCCAAGAGCCTGGAATGATTCCCCAACGAAAATACCAACAATCGTTATGGTTTCAACCATGGATTCATTTCGTGGCGCGATTGCTGCATGTCGCAACCATCCACAGTATGCACCCTTTCTGAAAGGACTCCGTTTTTCCAATGGCAATGGGAATGTCAGTCAAACCGCACAGTGGGAATTGCCCTCCCACCAAATACCATGGAACCTGCCAGGGGGGGTCCTTGAACACCATGTTCATTTTAAAGGGACCGGGTCCCAGGGATCAACTTCTCACCTGGAAAACTTCGCTCGATCGAAGTCGGCCAGTTCGTGGCCGCCCGCGATCTGCAGCCGCTGCTTCTGGCCTTCGAGCCAAGGGCCAGCGTGCAGCTGCTCTCCCAGGAGCCACGAAAACCTCGGTTTTGCCCATCGAGGTCGCCAGGTGCCCCTTCTCACCACAATTGTTTGGGAGAGGGAGGGTCCGGGACCCTACTAAAATAGAACTTATTCTAATCTCTCTACTCTAACATCTCTAACCTCTCCACTGGAGGACCTAGCCATGTTCGGGGACGTTTCTCTCATGGCTGTGGCTCAAATGTGCCAAAATCGTCCCCTTGGTACATGGAACAGACGAAAACCTGCGATTTGCCCTAGCTGTTTCATTTTGAGCCACACCCGTATGTTTTTTTTCAGTGCCGCTGGAGTGAAAGGTGGGGGATACCACCTCTTATGTTTGGCAACTTGAGATCTGGTAGAAACTCGCAGGCCTTCCAGCACTTCGGACTGGACCGGAAGCCTTGCACCCTGGCGAAATCAGCATGAGAAGCGGTGAAGCGTGGGGGGTTCATGAGGCATGGTCCAGGCTTTATTGCTGGATTTCAGGTAACCTGGCCGTTACGGTAACACCGTGATGAGCCATTCTGAAAGGGAATCATAAAGCAAAAATGATACACCAGGATAAACCATGATAAACCAGTAATTATAAGCCATGATAAACCAGGACAAACCATGATAAACCATGATAAACCATGGACACTTGAAGAACGCCCTCATCCCATGATTTGCCTTTTTTGCCAAGCCCGCGGCCTCGGTCCCAGGCATCGGTGAAGAGGACTTCGCCGCCGCCTGGGCGGAACGTTCCATGGATCCTTTGGGTCCTTGGAACTCGCCGGGGGCGAAGGAAGCGGCGAGCGTGTGGACAGGCGAGCGGCAAGACCCGACGGCATGAGCTTCTTGAGCTTCGCCCATAGGTGTCCTTTTTGGTTGTTTTGGTGGAAAAATAGATGGCGATTCCTGGTTTGCCTGGTGGTTTAATCATCTACCAGGGCCACCTATTTACCCAAAAGGACACCTATGCCTTCGCCCAACCCCACGGGAGGCCTTCTAAAGATACTAGGTCCAGCCAGGTGCCCCTTTTGATCCCTTTTTGGTTGGGAGGGAGGGTTGCCCTACTGAAACAGGCCACAGAAAAAGTGGGTACCCTGATTCTAACGTCTCTACTGGAGGACCTAGGATTCGCGTTTTTGCCCCAAAACCCTGGGGTGAATTTTGAATTTCCTCGTTTTCGATATGGTTTTTTGAAAAATCTGGGCTGTTCAAAACCAATCCGCAAGATCCTTACCCTCCCACCCAGGAGCCCTTTGAAAGACTTGAAGTGACTGTCACAGAGGGCTTCCGGGAGCTTAGTCTGGAGTGTACGTTGGGTTATGAAAGGATTTGGTGCCCTTTGTAGTTCAATAGATATTTTTGGATCGGGATTGGCCACTCCATGTTGAGCCCCCACAAGAAAAAAAACACGTGCCAGGACCACCTGGGCAAAGACTCGCCAAGGAGGAGGTGGAGCAGACTCTTGTCGAAACAGATTATGAGTTCATCCTTTCTAGCTAGATGCGGTTTGCCTGAGCAAGTCACATCCTAGTCCAAGGCGCACAAAGAAGTCCTTCAATGTATCCTCGGGTTCTTTCGAGCTTCAATGCTCCGACTTATCCACCAATTAACATGGAACCTGACGTTCGCGGGTCCCAGAAAGAAAAAGAGGGGAAATGTTCCAAACCAGGACCCCCTGAAATGTCAAACGTCAGGGTTCCATGTGTTCATTGGCAGGGGTCCCTATATTTCCCTTTTGGTGGTGTCAAACCTCATTTTTTGGCCCATGGAAGGTGAATATCCCTTGGTGGGGGTGATGTTTTAAGGGGAAATCCAGGCCAATGTGGGATTCCCAGGCAGGGGAAGACCGGAAATAATATTTATTTCCTTCTTTTCCAAGTCCATCCTGTCTATGATTGCGGATATAGGTTCCCTCTTGTCTTTTCCTTTGATCAGCATATTTTCTAGCTCTTTCTATTTTCATTTCATACTCTATTACCATATCTACGTTGGTGGGTCTCTTAAAGTGTATTTTCCAATGGATTCTTCATTAGTACTTACCTTACGAATCCTCTTATTTAATTTAATTTATATTTTAGTTGGAATACCTTTGATTACATATCTTTGGAAACATAGACACTCTGTGCCTACCAAATATGTTAATAAATCCAGAACTCTTCGTAACCTTAATAATCATCTATTTTTATCGGTTAAACGGAGAATGGTCCACACCAGGGCCCCTGAAACGTCGGGTTCCGGCTGTGAAAAGGGTGGGAGGGTAGCGAAGGTTGCTGGATTTGGTGCAGTCCCACTGCCATGGCCTTCCCTTGGAGACGTTGGACTTGGAATTCCTCGTGCCTGGCCATTCGGAAGCGCTCTGGGTCCGCCAACTGCGCCTCGAGCGCAATTAACAAAAAATCGACGCGGGCGTGTTGTTTTTGGTTGGGGATACGTTCCCTATGGGTTTTGCCGGGTTGACGGGTATCGATGTTCCATCGGCTTATTGTATGTTTATTTTTGAAAAAGTATACTGATGTGTTGAGTCTTCAACCTTGTGGAGGTTGCCATTTTGGCAGAACTCCGTTTCCGCTTGTTTCCTCTTCCGAAAAAGTTTGCCTAGACTTGTCGTGCGGAACTGTGGGCGCGCCTTTGAGGTATTGGGAGCATTACGAGGAGCACAATGCGGCGAAGCCCGGGCGAAGCGAGAGAATGAGCTTGTAGCGAAACTTTCAAGGGTTTGGTTCCGATTCCGAATTCTTTTCAAGCATCGTTCTTTTCCAAAACCAGATCTGTTTTCAAGCCGGGTTTTTGATGGTCTCCTGCAAGGTGGATGGAGCTTCCCCTAGAGAAATGGATGGGCTTCCCTCCGTCCTGAGGATCGAGCGCCTCATGCATCAGACGCAGTCCTTCACCAAGGACGCTTCCTACTACTCGCTTCTCCAAGAACAGCCGCCTGGCGTTTCTCACCCCTTCGGACTCCTCAAACACAGTCTCTTGGGGAAGACTAGGTCCCCAGTTGTGCCCTTTTACCAACTTTTTTTGGGGAGGGTTCCCCCACTAGAATTGACTACAGAAAAAAGGGTACCCTTATTCTAACCTCTGTACTGGAGGACCTAGAAGACGAAGATAGACCACAACTGCTAGGAGTAGTTCCATAGGGCTGTTGGTCAAAAATAGGGTAATACCCAACTGGGTTGCCCTGGTAAATGGAAACATGGACTAGCATCTGCGGTCCATCTGGTGGTGACTAATTTGACCCTGCCCATGCTGTGCATGGACGGAATCCTGCACCACTTTGAAACCATGGTTGAAACATGTTGAAACCACTGTTTGTTGGTATTTACAGGGGGAATCGTATCATTCCGGGGTTTCTGAACGGCGGTGTAGAATGTTGTCATTTTTATAAAATGGTGTCGTCCACTACCCCCAAACCACTACCCCCGGGGAAAATTGGGGCATATACCCTTTATATAGTGGCTACAAAAAGTGGCTATATATCCCATTAAACCCCGGGTAGTAGTTTGGGCGCACTGGAAACAGGGTTGTGGGATCACTCGAGGTTTCTCCCACTGCGATACAAGGTGGAATCCCCTCTTTTTTTTGGGGGGTCTTTGGGGTTCGGCCCTTTTTGTATCACAGGCCAGTGGATTCCATTTCCCACAGCCCTGGCGCGCGAAGGTGCGAGACCTTCAGCTCGGAGCTCTACATTTGGCGGGTTCGCTGGCCAGGCGTCCTGTTGGGTCCCTGTGAGACCAACCGGGCACCAAAACCGTGGGTTTGCTTTTGGCTTCCCTTTGAACCGGACCAACAAGTTTTTTTACAAAAGCAAACTCATACTTTGCGGACCATGTCAGGAGTTTGGTTTTAGGAGTTCAGAACTATGTGGATTCTGTGCCTCATGGCCCCACGAGGATGCGGGGCTTCACAAAGGAATCTCCCAAGTTGCAAAGAATGTCATCCATTTGGTGAGAAACACAAAAGCTGTGACCATGTCAAGGGCTGAGCCAGATTCAGGCACTTCGCAAAGAAGAACGAATCTCCAGCAGGACAACTGCTCTTCCGTCCTCGCAATGCCGCTTGCTGTTTTTTTCTGAGCAGGCGCGATAGGTAGATGTCTTCCCGAGTCCGGGTGTTGGCAATGAACCGTTTAGGGTTTCCCTGAAACGAATCCACCAAAAGATGGTTTCCCCTGAAGCCTAAACCCAAAAACCCTAAACCCTAAACACATTTCTCATTCCCTGCGTCTCTCGCGCCGATCGCACGTTTCCCTGAGCATTGCCTGCTGGCCTCTATTCCGCAGGCCCTGCGGAGGCCATCCGAGAAGCGGCGCGGACCATGCGCTCGCAGCTGGCATGGCATGGCGCCAGTGGCGATGTGGATGAGCAGAGCTTGAAGCAAGGATGCGCGGGAAAGTTTTCGGACGGCATCATCAACTCGTGCTCTTTTCTTTGCGTTGCTTCTTTGTTTACTTCCGTGCTGCATCATAAGCTTCTGCGTTTCCATTCTTTTTCCGCTTCCGTGTTGCATGATGAGCTTCCGCTCTTTTCTCCCCCTTTGATTCGCTTGTGCGCTTTTTTGTTCGCTTCTGCCGCAGTTTTCTGCGGCGCAGGAGAGCTGCGGCCTGGCCGCACGTTGGCGCTAGGTCCCTGGCGCTTGGCCTCCCGGCCACTGCAGACCTTCGGCAAGGGCCCCCAGTGGCGGCTTAGCCAAGCAAAAGCGAGCTGTCAAACGATGGGTTTCAACTCACCTCCCTGAGGTCCTGGACTTACTTGTTTGGTTTACAGGTTTTTGGGGGTCCCCTGTTTTACCCACTTGTGTTCATGGACTTTAGTCACTTTTTGGAGGGTTGGACCATTTGAGTGGCAAAGAACAAGTTGGGCTACTTTTGAGGGGCCATCCACTCAGGAGGTGAGTCAACCCACATAACCGCAGAACTGGTTTTTGGTTTCCTTGGGTTCGCCAGCAGACAACCTATCCCGGGCAAAGGCGACAAAACGGGAAGCCCGAGATTCAAACTTGATAGAGTAAGGACTGCACTGCCACAACTGATTGCACAAGAGAACATGTGCATTGGTGGTTCGCATGGCACGTGGTTTTTGGTTTTGCAATGAACGGATAGGCCCAGTGAGCATATGTTGACGCTGGTGGTTTGCAATCGCTTGGTTAATGGGGTTCAGAGACGCCATGAGCTGCTCGACTGAGTAGCCCATGATAATCCACACACACACACACACACCAAGACACACACACAATCTCTTTTTAAGAGGGGGCAATCTATGTTGACACCCAGTCCTCCGGCAAGCGAAGGACTGTGTTTTATTTGTGCCTCGTCGCCATGACGCAGAAGGGGACGAGAAGGTCAGAGCTCGGGAAGAATGGGCACGTACTCCCGAGCCTTGCTTGAATTAGATTTTTCCAGACTTGGATTCCATTTCCCTGTGTAGAAGGGAAACCAAGAGAACCACCAATTTGAAAAACCAAAAGGAAAATGGCAGGTTGCTGGGATCCACTGGGCAGGTTTGCGTTAAAAGATTGATCTGGACACTGAGTTGCACTGAGGCTGTACTGCCTGGCACATCCATCGATTTGGCATAGCTGGCCCTGCGGTGACTGGCCTTGACCATGGAAATGAGAAAAGGTGAAGATGTCTCCGGGCAAAGCCCGCGTGTCACCAAATAGTGGTGACCGGCTTTCAAAGGCGGGCTGACAAAAGGCTGGGTGCTTCACTGGAAGAGAGCGAGAGAGCGAGAGAGAGAGAGAGAGAGAGAGCTGAAGCACTGAAGCGCGAGACTTGCACATGCGTGGTTGTCGCATGCCCATGTTCTTCATGCAGTTGAGGAGTCATCTTGGAATAAACTGAGGTCCGAGTGCCTCGACATGCCACCCACTTCCTGGCTTTTGCTGTTGGAGAAGGTCGGACATCCTTTCTCGTGGTTGTCAGGGCCCCCCCAAACAAAAGACCCTCCAAAAAGGGAACCCAAAAAAGACCCTAGTAGGCCTTCTCAGTGGCTCTTAGCCTTGATTGGGATTGGGGGGCCCTATTAGAGGGGGACCTTGACAACCACAGGATTTTTGATGGGGGGCCATCCCGTTCTCAGCTCAGCTCAGGCGGTTTCCGTACTGATGCGGTGGCCGCGCTGCGGCAGGGGCCTTGGCGCTGGAATGATTTTCCTTGGGGCCTTACATTTTGTTTAGCTTTTTATATGGTTGGTTGGTTTCCGAATTTCACCCACTAAAGGTTGTTCACTTTGAGCAGGGGATCAGTTTGGACGGGTTTTCTGCATCAATCTCACCAGCTCTGAGACGTCGCTGAGGTTCAAAGACTGGCGCCCACCCACCGAGATGCCGACGTCTTTTGTCGCCGCCCGTCGGAAGAGCTGCGGCACTTCTGCGGTTGAACATTTTCTTGGCAGCAGACAGCAACAGGAACTTGCTGGTGCATTTTGTCAAGGGATGTTAGGACTTGAGCTTTTTGCCAAATGGGTTTTCCATTAACCCACTAAAAGTTAAACTTTTAGCAGGGGAGCAGAAAGCAACCGAGAACTTGCTGGTGCGATAGGTGGGGAATGACCTTCTGAGTGTTGGGAATGAACCTAGGGATTCCTTTAAAGGAAACCACAAGTAATTGTTTCTAGGGAAAGCGTGCTGCTACAATAGGTAGGAAATGACGTTCGAGTCCGGGTGCTGGGAATGAAACGTGTTTATTTGTTTAGTAATATGTTTTCGTGTTTTTATTATTATTATTATCATTATTATTTGTTTAAAGGAAGCGACAAGGGATGGTTTATAGAGTTATTCCATTTCCCATGTATAGAGTTATTCCATGTCCCATTCCCCCCTGAGAAAATACAACAGAACCACCACAATCACAAAAACAGTTAAGAAAAAACCAACGAGTAGCAACACCACAGCAACGGACTGAACAAGAGGATCATCATCGTCGTAGTCTTTGTCGTTATCGTCAACTTCTTTTTAGTGATCATCTCTATCTTCATCTTCATCGTCATTTGCATCTGATTGTTATTCTTTGTTTTTTAAGTTATTCTTCTTTGTTCTTCTTTGTCTTCTTCTTCTTCGTCTTCTTCTTCTCCAAGTCGTCTTCTTCTGCTTCTTTTCTTCTTCCTCGCCCTGACAGCGACAACGATAAGCAACTGGCTTCTGCAGAAGCAGAAGAGCTTCGGCAAGAACCACCATGAACAGCAACTCAGGGGGGCTTGGGGGGGAGGAAGGGGAGGGGGGAGGGAGCAAAAAAGGCCCTAAATGAGGCCTTATTAAGGGCTTAAGGGCTTAAAAAGGGCTCCAGAACCCCTCCCCTCCCTCCACCACTGGCCGACTTGAGATCAACTCAGGCGCAGGAGTTCAAAGACGTGGATGGTGGAGGCCTCATCCATGACTTGCTGGTGCGATAGGTGGGGAATGATCTTGCGGGTTTTGGGAATGAACCTAGGGACTCCTTGAAAGGAAGCCACAAGCGATTGTTGATAGGGAAAGCTTGCTGCTGCAATAGGTGGGGGATGACTTTCGAGTCCGGGTATTGGGAATGAAACGTTTGGGATTCCCTTAAAGGAATCGACAAGGCATGGTTTATAGGGTCATTCCATGTCTGATTCCCTGCCTGTCGCACCAGCAAGTCTAAGCACGTGGGAATGCGTCAGAAAGAAGCACTCTTGGCTTCGTCGCACGAGGTCTGACGTCCTTTTCCTTCGACTTCCTGCCTGGTAACTGTACTGGTCAGCTGCTTAGCAACAAACACTCTTGTGCGTAATCAGGGTCTCAGCCTTTTGATGGTGGATCACTCAGCCCCGCCATTGAACCGGCACTTTGCCCTGGCGAAGTGCAAAAGCTTGGTCACTCGCATCGGATAAACGCCGGAAACAGCACAAGGAAACCACCTGTGCACAGGAGATTCCTTGAAGTGCTTGGCTTTGATTCTGGCTCACCCGGTGACCCACAAGAGCAGAAGTGCATTTGTAATGACGGCAAAACAGCAAGAGCGAAACAACCGCGAGAAGCCGACAGTCAACAACAAAGCTTGCTGGTTCGATAGGTAGGGCATGATCTTGCGGGTTTGGGGAATGAACCTAGGATTCCTTGAAAGGAAACCACAAGGGATTGTTTATAGGGGTCATTCCATTTCTCATTCCCTGCCTATCGCACCAGCAAGAAAGCCCAACAACCTAACCTCGCCAGCCGTCCATCCGGTGGCCGATGCCTCATTCGACAGGATTTCTTTTCCCAGCAGATTTTGATTGTTGTAAGCATATGTGTTTTATTTTCCTTGTTGGCTATAAAGGGAATCTATCACTACTGGAAATAGTTTTTTGCAGGGGGCTAAAGCAAATGCAAGTAATGTGCAAGTAATTAGGATTTAATCGACATCTCATACGGCAAGGCAAGCTTGTTGTTTCTGCTAAGTTGACAAGCCCTTAAATGGCGTGAACAAAAGACAGTCCTCGTTTTGCAAGGTTTACATTGCGAGGCTTTGAGTTTTAAATTCAGTTTTGGATGGAATTCAATTCAATATAGTATTCTGAATTATATTTTGAATAGTACTTCCCTTCCAAACAGGATCTCGATTAGAAGTTAGTTAGAGCGTTGCTTCAAATTGTGATGCTAAATAGAAATAAATTTGCAAATATGAGATACATTAGAGTTTGAGTAAACTATTATGTTGAAGTACATCGTCAACAATAATTCCTTCCAATTATAGAGAATTTATTCCAATTCTAGAAAGGAGTTCCTTTCCAAGTACGATTGTAATTGGATTTTAAACAGAACTTAGAGTTAGAATGTCAATATAGTTTAACTGAAGTCTAGTAGAAACATCAAGCCCGCAGCTAGATTTATTATGTGGGAGTCGTTCTAAAGGTCCTTCTAAGGAGTTTAGTATTTGGCGACCGTGGGTGTTGGTGGAGATACTTCCAAGAAAGATTTGCGATGGAGTTGTGAATGCAATGTTGTGTTTCGCGAAGGTGTATTGAAAAGATGGGACTTTCTGGTTCGAAGAATGATCGGCGCACGGCGATGAATCCGCGTAAGATTCGCGAAGAATGGCTGGTTCGAGACAAAGGAATTTAGAACAACCACCATGCCGAAGAAGGTTGTAAATAGGAAGCCCATTTCACGTATCTAGGATTATTAGATGCCAATTACACATGTTAAATTGAACCCGGTAAGGAAAGGCAAGCTGGTTGTTTCTGATTTAATTTACCTAGAATTATCATTTCGGAATTGATTTTACATAGGAATTATTTTGCACATAGGGGTGTGCAGTAGAGACTTCAGGCAGATACATGATGAAACAAAAATAGACCTCGAGAAAACAAACAGCACATAGGGAATTGCCTCAGGCAGAGATGCATGAGGAAAATAACAATAACTTTGAGAAAGCCAAAAGCACGAATGCATTTAGAGAGTCGTTTAGTCCGTGCGGTCTGTATTTGCACAGACAAACAAGTCTGGAGCAAACCAAACAACTACAAACAGACTCGAGAACAACAATGAAACAAAGCAACCTATCAGTTGATGTTTGATCAAAGACGCCGAGATGTAAGTTAAGCGAATCACCCCAGGCCAACTTGGAACGGCAGTTGAACCCGCGCTGTTCCATAGCTCAACTGATTCTGTGCTCACAGTGGGATCGACGGTTTGATCCAGCAGCTGCACGTAGGCAACGGGCCAAGCATTCTGCTGCCATGGTTTGACGCTGTACAATATTGAAGGTGTGAAACATGAGAGGACAATTCGAAGCTGGTGTTTCAGGTAGCTCCCGAGCGAATAGTTGCAAATGCGGTTCAGAGGCAACTGCGCTGAAGGAATGGCGTCCTGACAGATCCCATGGTCGGTTGATAGTTGCCACCGTTTGAACAATGTACAGGCAAAAGCCCCAGATCTGAACGAAGCCCTTGTGGCTTCGCTGTGGTCACAGCAGATATTTACAGCGCCTCTAAAATTGGCAATTTGCTGATGCTTGCAGACTTCGTTCCGGTGTGAGGTGACGATGCTTGCGACCCTGGCACGCACTTCGCAGTGAGCCTAGGGCTGGGTGTTGGTTTGCCTTGCGTGGTTCAAGCTCAGGTGCTCTACTGGGCACGCGGCCAGCAAAAACTGGGTGCCTTGTGGAGATCTCAGGCTGGGGTCGAAAGCTGTGGAAAGCAATGACCACACTTCAGTGTGGATATGTTTAGGTTTTTGGGTTTGTTCATTCTGATTGTTTCTTGTAGGGGCCTGCACAATCATGTATGTATGTATATATTTTAGCGCCTCCGGCTCAGGCCGCCGGCATTACAGGCCTGCTGTCTTAATTGTGTCCTTTGATATTTTTTGCATTGGAAGTGTTCCTTTGGATATTTCTCATCGCCATTGGAATTATCCCATTCGACTTCTCCCATTGGATTTTCCTCCTTTTTCCCACCTTTCCTCCCCCTACAATTTTTCTCCCTTTCCCCCCTAAGATCTTTCCCCCCCTTTACCCGCCTAAGATCGTTTCCCCCCCTTTCCCCCCCTAAGATCTTTTCCCCTGCCCCCCCCCCTCCCGTGAAACTTTTCCCCCCCTTTCACCCCCCAATTTTTCAATCAAATCCAGAAAGTAGCAGGGTGGTGGCCGGGGTGAGAGAGGATGTGGTGATGCCGAGGATGCGGGAAGCCACGCAACCCCCGCCTTTGAAAGGACTTAATGTACGAAAAGGGACGTCCAGCAATCGCAGCACGGCACGTGGCCAACCCCCCCCTCCCCCAACAGTCCGAAGCCGTGCGCCTGGGGAGGGGTAAGGGGGGGTAACACGTCTGTTGTCGGCGGATATATAAAAGATTATTGCTACCATACCAAGGGTTGGACAGTGAAAGCACCTGCTGCAGGGCAATCAGCCACCCTACAGCGCCATGGCGCGCAAGCCGAACTTGGCCACCACCCTCATGGCAGCCTCCTAAGCCACACCAGGCAAAGTCAGGGCTCAGCATGCATTCCCAGTTCGGTTCCTTACCTTTAAAGGCTTTTAGTTGGTTTAGCGGTACCATTTAGCCCAATAAAAGTTCTTTTTTTTGCAGGGGATCTGAAAACAGACAGCCTTGTTAACTCGAGCCCAGGTCGTGGCCGGAAACGCGGCTGGAGAAATGGCGTTTGGGCCGACGGTGCTGCAAAACTGACATGTGTTGGCAAAACACATGGGGCACAATGAGATGCTTGCTTGCCAGGCTTCCCTTCGAGAAGACCGAGCCATCGATTGACAAAGACCATGAGGCTAAGTCCGACCAAAAAAACTAGACTACAACATTCAAGTATGATATTGGATGAAATGTTGATTTGAAATATTTTAGGTATGTTTGTTATTATATACATATAACGATATTAAATAAAAATGATAGATTGTTAGATTTATTGAATTATTATCTAAATATATTCTATGTAGGGAAGGTATTTTAATTATTAGAATTAGATATTAAAAATAATCGATAAAATTTGATTTAATATTGATTTGATTCGGGAGGAACATATGGAAATGAGAATGAAATTATAAATTATTGATATTTGAAAATATTACATAATTAATATGTTATATATAAGGAAATAAAATAATTGATTATTGGTTTAATTAAGGTCGAAAGAAATGGATTTTATTGAAAAATATTGATTTTTATAGAATCAGGATTTGTTATGTTGGTCGATTGTATTTATAGGATATTTTGTTTAAAAAAACAAAATAAAATAGAAATTTATTTTTGGATGGTGAATGTTATTATTAAATATATTATTTTTATTGAATTTAGTGTTGATGGAATTTTGTTTGTAATGGTTGAATATGATTAAATGTTGTTAAACTTAGAATGATTATTATTCGATTAATTATATAAATATATTATTAATTCTTGGAAAGATTATTAGTTTTTTATGTTATTAAGAACATAAAATAATATATTAAATTTTTATTTATATTGATTTGGAATATACTTATTTAATTACGATCGATTAGAAGAAGATCTAACTCCTAGCACGAAAGAAACATTAAAAAAAGATATTAAGAAATATTCTAATTAATTATTATTATTTTTTTAAAAAAAAAACATAATAGATTGGCGATCTCAACGTGATCTTGGGCTTACACATGATTATTGTGTGTGACAATGTTAAATATACAAAACCAAAAATGGTTTTAATATTTTATATTCAGTTATATAATAACCTATATGGGTATGGGAAGGGACAACCTATATGGGCATAATAGGATGGGTGGAGAGCTTAAAACGCTCGTGATATATTTGATTTCGAGTTATGTTTTTCGTTAATGATAGGTTGTGTTTGCAGTCATTCGTGCGTAATAATTTCGTGTTTCTTGTTGTGTATTTATATCTATAGAGGGATGGAGTGAGGTCGGGGGGGGGGGTTAAGAGCGTTTGTAATATGTTTAACATAGAATTATATTTGCCGCTAGGTTATGTTTGCAGCCACTTGCGCGTAGTAATTTCGTGCATCTTGTCGTATATTTATATTTGCGGGGGGGGGAGCGTTCGTAATATATTTGATTTCGATTTTATTTATATATATATTGTTTTGCGATGAATGATAGATTATGTTTAAAGTCATTCGTGCCTATTAGTTTTTTCTTGTTATATGTTTATATTCGCGGAGAGAATGGCGGAGTAGGGGAGAAGGGGTCTTGGTAGAACAAGCTAAAGATCCTATATAAAGATTTGATATCCATTTAAATAAGAGTACATAAGAATTAAGATTACTAAGTGTGATTTTTTAAATCCGTAATATGGTAGTGAATGTATAATTTGCAATTCAGATCCAATATTGGAGTGGAAAGATATTTGAAATTTCATTAAATCGAAATGATATATAAAAATTATAACGATTATATATTTAATATCGTTATAATCTGATTTTATATATTCTGTTGAATATAAAATAGATTTCATAGATTATAATGATTTTCTCTATAATTATTCAAATCTAGATAGGGGAGCGTTTGCCAAAAACATAGTCTTTTGATCGGTTAGATTCCTCTTGCCGAACCAAAATCTATTTATCTCCTCTTCCATCATCGGCCATATAGAAATTCATATCCTATGAAAGGTCGTATTCCTAAAACCAAAATAGTTCTTTTTCTAGTGCATTTTGCTTCTAAGCTATACGATATAAAATACATCCGTTGCTTCCGATTCTAATATTGCAATTGCCCATAATACCTAATCCCTAACCAATTTGTCTCTAACGTTAAATTATTTCCATTCGACGTAGTAAATCGATTACCTTAACATGACATTAGATTCATAACCTATGTGTAAGACGACCTATTCGACATTATTTTTTCATAATGCCCAGAATTCCAAATGAATTCAAATATTCTATAAATGTTCTTTATATTCAATCAAATATATATATATAGATATTGTATTTATAATAAAATGAAAGAAAGAATATATCATATATTTTTAATACATTTTATATTTATATTATTATATATATCTTTATATATATCTTATATATATGGTTATTTATAATTAATCATCCTAAAATTATTATTTAATATTTCTATATTTTATATTTTTTTAAAAAATCATCGAGACGATATACTAAATCGATATTATTCCCTAAAAATATGTAATTAAATTATATAATTAAAATATATGTTTATTGGGAATAATTAAATTAATAATTCATTAATCAATATATATATATATAATGTTTATTTATATTATGAAAAAAAAAAAAGAAGGAAGAAAAAAATGATTTGACAATTAATATATATATATAATCTAAATATATATTATATATTTTAAATAATAATATTGAATTAAATTAATTTATTTTTTATTTAATATATTATATTAGATATAATAATATATATATATATATTTAGATTGTAAATAATTTTATATTATATATTATCCAATATATTATAAGAATTTTTTAAATCTATATATGTAATATATATGAATAATAAACTAATACATTGGTGTAAAATATACAATATATATAATTCAATTATAATATTCTATATATATATTATTTTATATATGATGAATATATATATAGATCGATAAATATCAAGAATATCACAATACTATATATAAGATTATAATGATGCCAACACCATTACAATAATGCCAATTATATATTTATATATATATATTGTTCAATAATACGAATAATATTATATATTATATTATAATTTAAAAAATAATATAACTAAAATTAATATAAATTAGGTAATAAAATATCGATTCAAGAATTACCATTCTATTATCGATAATAATCATAATAATAAATATAATATCATAATAATATTAATAATAATATATATATATATATAGTATACATATTAGAAATTTACCAAAATATTATAATCTTATAAATAATATTATAATTATGTCAATAATATTATAAATATTAATAATATTAGAAATTTACCAATAATAATATAATTATATAAATATAAAACTATAAATATAAATAATATAATAATAATTCAAATAATATTAAACTAATACAAACCATATAATATAACACCAAAAACGACATAAACATATGATTAAATTAAATAGCCACAACAACGAACAATCAATACAAAAAAAAACATTCTCATTCATTCAAATAAAAAATATACATAATACGAACAATAAATCTCAAAAATAAACATAAATATTATCCTATAAATGCCAAAATAAATATTATCTTAAAATATTTATATTAAAACACAAAAAATCATTCCCTTCCCCAAATACAATCCAATTTGTTTCTTCACAAATATCATTAATTCTCCAAAAATATATAATCCCATCCTCATCAAATCCTCGAATAATGTCTATACCAATATCCCAATTTATATATTTAGAATTTAATCTATAATTTTATATAAAAATAATATTATCAATTTCATAATCACCAACCCCTCAAATAACATTGTCACCAAAATCCCCAATCTTCATATACCTAATTCCCATTCTTCAATCAATTAAGTATAGTTATGGTTGCCGATAATAAATATATAACAATTTATGTTTTATAATATATTCTATTTATTTAAAATATTATTAAACATATAATATACTTTTAATAATTCAATTAAAAATCGAAAAACAACGATAAATTATAAATAATAATTTAAATATAATATATATTTTTAGAAAATTATATATATATATATATATTTTTATCGAAGCAAAATCATTATTAATAAAAAATAATAATAAAATAATTAAATATATAATGGTTATTTATTTATATTTAATTGAAAAAAAAAAAAAAAAAAAATATAATATTAATTTAAAATTTAATTATTTTTTAGATAATTATGTTCTTTGAAATGTAATATTAATATATAAAAACCAGAAAATAACATTTGAAAGAGCACATACAGCCAGTTGCCTGTTCCCTGATTTGCAGTCCGAAGCCATGGACACGGGCGCACGGGTTTGCAGAGGAATATACTCAGTCGGAACATAAACATTCAAGTCAAAAGCAAATGCTGAGCATTCCAGTAATTTTACTTGGCTTGTTGAAGGACTTATATGTGGGAAACGCCTTTTTAGCTTCGTTGTCCATAGCTCTTTTTGTCCTCAAACATCCAGGTCGCGAGCGTGCATTGCAATCTGGAGCAGCATGCTCCTCAAGAACCTGAGCCGAACAAATCAGCCACCTCCACCCACATTTTAGCAGCTGCTTGAACCCGGCCTTGCGTAGACATAGCTGAAGAGCCGCAAGGCAAAAACGAGGATATTGGCCTTGTTCATGTAAGAAAAGAGCACCTGGGCGATCCTTGAATTGTAACATGATTCACGGTCAAGACTAATCACATGACATGCACTGCCGCTTTCAAAAAGGATAAGTGAGAAGAAAGAAAGATGTGTTCTGCATGTCTTTCGCGTTTTAGCCGTCCGCTGGAAACTGCAGACCGCGTGAGCATGGTGCACGTCCTGAAGTTCACTCACAAGTCAACACCTTTCGTCCAGCCTCTAGAGGTCAGTCAAGTCATGCGTATCCGCCTTCTAAATGGCTTGTTTTGGAAGCAAGCTCCATTCCTTTGTAACTGCCTCCTGTAAGACTTCGTTGTGCCATCTTGACTACTTGCTTCCAAGCTCAGAAATCCGTTTGGTTTTCTGCAAGCAAGAAACGAAGAGCCCCGCGTCACAAATGCCACTTACACTGCTCGAAACCTCCTTCCTTCTTTTTCGCACCCCCTTCCGGTGCCTGGATCACGATCCCCGACAGGGCGACGTTGGAGAACCACGCGTACAACCGGGGCTTGTGCTTGTGAGCTGCTGTGAAGCCAGTGCCTCGTGCGCTGTGTGGCCGCCCCTGTCGTGCCCGTCGAGCTGGGTTTCCCCCGGAAATGTGGGTTGGTTTCGCAGTTTTGGACTGGCGCCAACACATAACACCGCCATCTGCCATCGATTTTCACACCTGCCCAAAGACAATCCACCTTGGGAGAAGCCAGACAAAGTGGGAAGTCCCTCTGTTTTTCCAGCGAACCAAAGGGGAAGCAACATGGAAGCTGAATTCGATTGGCCCTCACTCCTCCAAGCCCGAGACACAGCATCTGGTATGCAATGTCTTTCCGCGTATTTGGCATGACGGGTGAAACTCTTCAATCGCTGTCGGTGAGAATATGACTGCAGAGAATTTGGGCACTTGCCTCAGAACATGGCAAGGGCACACGTAGAAAATGCAAGTCTCCCGCCGCTTGGGATGCTACTGCTACATCCTTATGGCGTTTTGGAAAGCAATGCTACGTATATGCTCTTTCCATCGAAAACCTGGACACATCGTCGAGGGGAGGAGGGGGCAGTGAGGCTCCAAAAAAAAGGCGGCATGTGTGCTCCTTTTCTTCAAGAGAGGTGAATTCTGCAAATGGTGGGCTTCGTGCCAGTCTTCTACCAAACAATCAAATGTAGGCCTCCAATTGCTTCTTCGTCCCCTGGCACAAGTAAAATTATATCTCCCATTAAAACCCACAGGGGAAATCAAACATATTCATTTCAGCAAATGGAAGAAGGGGCCCCTTCCTGTCCCCCAAACGTCCCTGGTGGGCCCCTGGCAAGTTTTTCATTTCGAGGTGCAAAAGTAAAGCTTCAGGTAGGCCATCTGCATGGCCAGCTGCGCCCAGAACCTCAGCCCAAAGGGAGCTTCAAGGCTGTCCAAGCCCCAAACCAGGCAGGAACACATCATACCTGTGGATGGCTCCGAAATCCGTTTCGCACCACCAAAGACCCTTGAATGATACGATTCCCCTGTAGATACCAACAAACGGGTATGGCTTCAACCATGGTTTCCAAGTGGTGCGATTTCTGGATTTCGCCACCATCCAGAAATCAAAAGTAGGGTGTCAAGGCTGTCCAACCCCCCCCCCCCCCCCCCCCCGGGCTTGAGAAGCTCAGGCCGCGGCAAGGTCCAGAGGGACTCAAGGGGCAGTGCCTGAGAGACTCAGCTTCGGGCTCGGAAGGAGCTGGTGACTTGGATTGGTTGGAGATGGAAAAAAGGTACGTTCCAAATACAGCTGCACCAAATCACCAGAAACTGATGGCTACCAAAATCCATTTTGCCACCAGGGATTGCCAATCCCAACTTGCCCAAGGCCTACGACCACTCCGTTGTTTTTAGCGGGGAGTTTTGCTGGTTTCACAGACATGGCCCTCCCCCGAAACCCAACTTTTCCTGGTCCAGTGTGTTCGAAGGGATGGTCCACGGTGTCGAGGCAAAAACGGAACTGATCGAGTCAAGTGACCAAACTCCAGGTCAAGCTGCGAGGTTCGAACAAATGGCTTCTCGAATGCTGCACACATGACATGCCCTGGATCAAGCTGGGGCGCGCCTTTATTGGAACCCCTTAAAAGGGTTCCCCTGAATTCAATGCATGTTCAGAATTCTAAAGTTGTTGCAAACTGCCTCCTTCCATCTGGGCTCTTTATCAGCCCCCTTTCAGTACAGAAGCATGTCTCGATCACAAAGCTGAGAAGGATAACCTGCTTTGACTGCCGGCTTGTTCTTGTTTTTTTGGTCGGGGGGGGGGGTTGTGAAGGAGGTTCCTCTAACGATATTTATTTTGGGTTACCTCAGACTTCTTTCAGCTTCCCTGGTGTTTTGGACTGGCTCGCTGAGTGTTTCTTTCGAAGGTCTTGAGGGTGCGGCTCGGTAAGCAGCCGCCACCTCGAAGACCGAATGCCTGGGGATCGGGGCAAACCCACGGCTTGAGATCGTGCGCGAAACGCCAAAGAAAGGTGCAGCAGCCAAGCGCGGGCAGTTGGTTAAGGCCCGTTGGCTTGCCGAGACACTTGGAATGTAGGGTGTTGCTTGTGTGTGCAAAACCTGATTGCCTCAGTCGGCTGCTTCAAATTCCTTCAAATCGCAAGATGCGATTGCATGAAAGATGGATGCTCGGAGTAATCTGTTTTTGCAAGGACATGGGCAAGGCCATGGAAAATACTACAACTGCCCAACTATGCATAGTTGCGCCAAGCGTCTGACGCCTTTTTTCAGTCTGTGTTGGGGCCACAGCGTGATAGCATCTGTGATTTGCGAGTTTGAGCTTGCCCCCAGGTACAGCTTGGCAAACTCTTCTACAAAGTTCCTCTTCATTCATCGAGTGGCGCAACCAAGGGACGAATACAACCATGAATGGGCTTGGCTTCCAAACTAAAAGCACTTTGACTAGCTTGGGAATAACCAAAACAAGCGCCAGGGCGCATTTCTGGTTGCAACCGTCCAGAGCTACAGGATATTTGCCACCATGATTTGGGCAACCATCATGTGGTGCGATGTTTGCTGGACGGCGCTGAGAAGGACGCGGCTGACATGAATTGAGTGACAATCAAAACCTGGTGTTAAAATGGTCGACCCAGAACCATGCTTCAAGAATTAAGAAGGCGGCCGCAACTATTTGTGGCTGGGACTGTTCCTTACTAACCTTCATCTACACAGGTTTTGATTGTGACTCAATTGGCAACCGCCTTTGCAGTTTGCTGCTCGGGCAGGCCGGCGTGACTTAGTGCGAAGCTGCCTGTGTCTGGGCTGAAAGATAGAAGGACAATCCAGATCCGTGAAACGAATGCCTGCCCTCCCTCCTTCAAATGAACTATGACCATCCTTGCTTGTAAAGCACCAAACTCAGTTGCGCCTGCCTATTCAACTACGCTCCACATTTCAGATTATGAAGGCGAAGGGTAGGCATTGCTTTTTGAGGCTGGGATTCTCAATCGCTGTCAGTGCTGCTTGCCAAAACAGACTTCTTAAACACATGCTGCCAGCATGCGAACAACCGCCTTAGGCAAAAATGAAGAGAAACTCACGACTAGCTGGTTCCTTGCAAGAAATCACACAAATATGGCGCAATCTGCTTGGTTGCTGTTGACCTCTCTGCAACAACTTTTTAACTTTTTGTGGATCCAACGGAAAATCCGACCTGTTTCAACCAACAAGTTGAAGTCCAAAGATTCCGTTCCCAAATAGCCACGAAGCCTCTGGCCCCGGAAAAGTTGACCCAACAATCCAGGCAGCTCCTCCTCACCCCCTCTCCTCACGACTCATCTTACCTCTGGCACCTCTCCCGCCCTGCGGCTGCCTGGCGGCGCGGCACAGCAACGAGACGTAGAAGATCTCCACCACCAGCTCCTAACGATCGCGTTCGCGCGTTCGCTTTTTCTGCCGAGGAGTCTGCTTCGCTTTCAGCCGAGGAGACCGTCGGTCAGCGGACGAGGGGGGAGGGAAAGCGATGGGCAGAAGCAGATGGGATCAGAATATAAGCGCCTGAATCATCAGAATTGGCTTGGGTATCTTAAAACAAACACGAGTCAACTCCTTGGATGTTCGGCCAAGCTGGCAAGTGGTGGGTTACAACCTACTTATAAGTCCGCCCAAGAGCAGTTAGCTATAGCCTAGGATACTAACCACCTACTGACTTGGCCGAACACCCAAGTATTAGTCATTGATTGGTCCCTTCTGCTACTTCCCTTCTGATTCACGTGAAGCCCAAAGTGACACTCTCTCAGGTCGGTCCAGCCCTCGCGGTCTGTAACTCAAGAGCAAATGCGCCCTACAAAGTAGTAGGCTTCCTTAAAGGATACATCCAACACCCCTTGCTTTACCCTAAATCAACAAAGGTATTTTTTCCCTGGCCCAACTGTATGTGAGGAACCGTGAGACACTTGGAGGAAAAGCCAGTTGCTTGCGACCGTTCTCCGCAGAGCCCCAAGAGCACGCAACGCTTATATCGTATCCATTTCGTCTTGTGTATATACTCATTTCAGGGGCACCCATCGGATATGAGCAGTTGTGTGATTGAGCCCTTATATGTTTCGCCAGTGTCGAAGATGCTGTTGGTGACACTGTACGCCCTCCAATTTGCAGCATCTGTTCCACACACCCGAAGACAGTTCCTGGATTTGCTCACACACGGCGCAAAGTGAATGCTCAAAACACCCGAAGGATATCTAGTCGGACGATTTTCCCGCGCTTTTGTTGCACTTGCAGCACAAGGCTCCCCCTTTTTCACATGCAAACTTGACTTTTTCCAGGGTGCTCACCATACTCTGGGCTTAAAAACGACCAAAACTAGGTCCTCCAGTAGAGAGGTCAGAATAAGGGTACCAACTTCTTTTTCTGTAGTCTATTTTAGTAGGGGAACCT